CCACGTGTGAATAATTTAGAACTGGCCAATAATGGGACTCGAATTAGCATACAAATGGCGGGAACTCTTTGCAACGAGCATTTCTGTGCTGCAACAAAGAAATGCACCCTGCAAAGAAAGCTTCAAATTGGCGAGAAATTCTCCCTTGCACCGGGGTTTTCTTTTGCAGCAGAAAACTCCACCGTGCAAGGAAGCTATAATTTAGCGGTAACAATTTAGGAGTGCCAAAGCACACAAAAACAAAAATCACACCCTTTGGGTTGTGACAATCCTTTATGATTTTTCCTAAAGTCTTGCCAAGAACAGAGGTGAGGCTAATCAGCCTATAATTAGCCAGGTCCTCTTTCCTCCCCTTCTTGAAAATAAGGACCACATTGGCCCTTTTCCAGTCTTCTAGGACCTGTCCTGAGCGCCAAGAGTGCTCAAACAGTTGTGCCAGTGGTTTCACTATGACATCGGCCAATTCCTTTAGTACCCTTGGCTGAAGATCATCAGATCCTGCCAACTTAAATACGTCCAACCCCTCCGAGTGCCCCTTCACCAGGTCAGTGCTAACCGCTGGTGGATTATTATCTCTCTCATGCCAGACTGAAGTCTCATTGGGAGGTGTGATTGTATCTGTGTCCAGGAACACAGATGTAAAGAAATCATTTAAGAGCTCGGCTATGTCCATCCTATCTGTTATGAGTTGCCTTAGTCCATCTTGTAGCAGTCCTGTGTTATCCTGTGCTGCCTTCTTGCTCCCTATGTACTTTAAAGGTAACAGAAAGTCCTTCTTTATCTTTGTTGCCAGCCTGAGTTCTGTTTCTGCTTTGGCCTTCCTCACTGCTTCGGTTACTTCTCCTTGGTGGCTGCCCCTTGCTTCCACTGCCTGTAAGCCTCTCTTTTTCCCTGTAGGCTTTCCTGGATTTCCCTGCTCAACCAAGATGGTTTCTTGGTTCTTTTGCATCCCTTTATGTATACTGTAATGGTAACCCTGTGCCTGCAGGATCAGTCCCTTGAGGAACTCCCACCCTTCCTGAACTCCCAACTCACTGATGTTATTACCCCTCAGGCCCACTCTAACTAATCTCCTGAGCTCATTGAAGTTGGCCTTCTGGAAGTTTAGCACTTCCGCCCTACTAGTTATCTTTCCCACCTTTCACCAGGTAGTGAATCCTATCAACAGGTGGTCACTACCTCCTAGGTTACTTTGTACCTGCAGATCCTCCACCAAGTCCTCCCCTGTGGTCAGCACCAAGTTGAGTAAGGCATTTTCCCTAGTGGGACTGCATACCTCCTGTGTTAGGTGCAGGTCCTGTATGCAAGTTAGGAGCCTACGTGAACTGGCAGACCTGGCTGGCTGCTCCTCCCAGCAGATGTCTGGGTAATTAAGGTCCCCCATGAAAAATGGGTCCTTTGAGTGTACTGCCTTTGAGAGCTGTCTTAAGAATTCTAGGTCTAACTCCTCCTCCTGTAGTAGACCCCCATGTAATCTGACGCATAGGACTTTGATCTGCCCTTCTTTTGTCCCCATTTTTTATTACAGAAGATTTATAATGTTCAGTCCTTCCCCCTCCTTCCCCCTCCCTCTCCTTAGTCTCTGTTTAGCTGCAAGCCAAGCAAGCCCGGCTTCAAAACTCTAAAATCTTCGAAACTTTCGAAACATTTTGACTGCCCTCATTTCATTTTGAAGCTATTTGGAAGCCTTTTGTTTCATTTCGATGTTGCTGTTTCAAGCTCGAAATGTCTCAAAACAGCTTCGAAATGAAACACCTGGTGAAATTTCACACAGCCCTAATGGTCAGCCCCCAGGTTACAAGGTTACTTAATTGCAGAAACTTCATTTTAGGAGAATAATGGTACTTTATCACCTTCATATTAACAAAGGCAGGGCTTTACCTTTCCTCACATGCTTAGTAATAACGTTCTCTAGACTGGCATTTACCTTGCAGTGTGTAAAAGCTAAACCAAAGCAATTTAGCTCTGTGTCATTCAGGAGTAAGCAGGCCCTGTTCATCTGTAATCATGGACTAAGAGTCAACACAAGAAGTTACCGCACAGCAGCTAAGACATGCCTTTCATAGCATCTGATGAGGTAGACTATTGCCTATGAATATTCCAACCTCTGTGAACCACTTAGTCTACTAGGTACGGTGGTACGGTATGGTACCACCCCACCCCACCCCACCCTCTGCTAGGCACATTAATAATTTCCACTACCTTGCCCTATTAAGTGAGTGCACAGGTGCAAGTATTCTTTTGTTCCTTAATAAATAGGGATCAGGGACTTGCCGTACCTTAGAGGTACCACAGAAACTGTTCTTGTGTCTTCACTTATTCCTCAGTGGCTGCATCTACATGTGCAATTAATGTGAAGTGATAAACTCTGGAGCAGTTTGCTCCAGGGCATACACTGCTCCAGAATACACTGCTCCTGGGCCTACCTTCTATACATGTGCCTAGGACAGCAGCACTCTGAGCCAGAGTGGAGCAGCTCCAGGCTGCCAGCAGACTCAGGGGGTCAGCCCCGGGCTCCAGGTGGTGGAATCAGGCAGTGGAGGGGCTGGCTAGGTTATGAGAGTGCTGAAAGTATGGAGCCATATGGCTGACTCCCCCTCCCTTATCCCTCCTGGCCCCCCAGCCTGCTGCCAGCCTGGGGCTGCGCCACCCCAGCTTAAAATGCTGCTGTCCCGGTCACCATCCACACATGTGTTGCAGCACAGTAAATGTCTCCACTGTAAGACACTACTGCCCCTGACAGTACTATCTTATGGTGGAGTTAATTAATTCACTGTGCCTTAATATCAAAGCTCATGTAGATAGTGATGCTTTACTGCAGAGCTAATTAGTCAACTCCACAGTAAATCACACATGTAAATGCACTCAGTGAAAGGTAAATCTTTGGCAGCTTATGCTTACATGAAACGGGGCTAATTGCTCCAGTTTCACTTTAGGTTATTCTGGGGCAGCTGTGGGTATATAGTCTCATAGTTGTTAGGGGCTGGAAGGTATGCATAACAATTGTTTGTGTCCACAGTTAAAAACATGACTGGGGGCTTATAGCATCTCAGCAGCCCCATGCTGTCTGTTCATGTAGCCAACCTGATGTTGGGAAACCTCGGTTTTTGGGTGTTCAGCTTTCTATACCTAGGGCTTATTTATTATGGGGACTTCTTGGACTTGTGTAGCTACATAGATGTGACTACACCACTGCAAGCCTACCATGTAGATGTGCTGCACGGTGAGTTCTGCTGCTCTAGTGCAGGTAACTCCTACCCTGAACCCAAAAACCGAAGGATCCAAATTACAGGTCAGTTCTGAAAAAAGTCAAAATGTCTTTCTCTGTGGCTTGTGGTAATAGTTTATTACCCCCTCTTTCTTCTATTCTAATGAAATATTGTGTCCCATTTTGATTCTGCCTTAGTGGTCTGGAAGGTGAGAAAAAACAAATAAAGGGCATGTTGAATGAGCTAATACGCATCCAGGCATTTCCCCTTAACTCCTAGACCACAGCTAAACATCTCACCCAAATATTTCTTTTAACAGATTCCCTTCCCCCACATACATTCCCACTGTGTCCCATGCCCTACAGGGGACCAGATTTGAGATAGGAGCTTCCAATGAGCATACCCAGGAATAAAGCAGGGCTGAATTAACACAGTTCTCTTATCATAATTATAATCTAAAGCAAATGAGTTTAGTTACAGCAGGATTCCCTCCTGTCCCTGCACCTCCCACACACAGAGCAGCTGTAGTATTGCTTAGGTCTCCTGTATAAAGCCAGCATATTGCATTTATTGAAACCAAAGGACACATAAGGGTAAAAGGGCGCACTTGAGCAGGATCAGCATGTTTCTGTTTCTGCTGCTGCTCCAGCTGCTGCTGATCTCATGTTTTGGAGCAACAGAGGAGGGAGGACAGCAGCCAAGACAAAAGAGGGGAAGAATTCAGCACCTTTTCTACCTAGATAAAACTCTGCTAGAAAGAGAGGTCCCTAGGGAGCTGCTAAGGGAAGATCCTACAGACTCTGAAGGAATCCGAGCAGGGCCAAGCTTGTATGTAGCAGCCCTTGAGCATGCTGCAGAAAACAAGAAGCCAGGAGAGAAAAAATTGTCCCGATTTATGCTTCCTTTCATAGAGCTCCAGACAACCCAAAGCTCACCTGCACGAAAAGAGGCTCTTCATTCTGATAGTCTGAGAAACTTTTCACCTCCCCACTCATCCCATGAGAGGGAAGCTGAGTCTTCTTATAGGAAGGATGCCAAGAAATTCTGGGACCATTTCACACTACAAAAAAATTCAGCCTCTGAGGAGGTTGTCCTGCCAATCAAGACCGATGAGATGCATCAGGAAACCTGCTGGACTCTGCCTTTTTCACAGGTAAGTACAAGTCCTAGGAAAGGGGCCCATCACTAGTGAATATTTGCTCCTTTCATTTTCATGTGTCATCTGTAATCACTAACTAAAGGCAATACAGGTTGATTGTACTTGCTAAGCAACAAAGGCGCATTGGGATAACCAATATTACTGAAAAAGACCTGTTTGGCTTTTAGGTCAGTGAGACAAATTGTCTGATCACAAAGCTGAGTGCCAATGAAATCAAGATACAATGAGCAGAAGGGGTTCTCTTTTTTTTGTCTGTAATCAAAGACAAATCGTATTTCCCAATTTAGCCCTACCACAGGGAGAACAGTCATCTGGCCTCATGAATTATTCATGCATCAGTCTCAGTGCAATTGTTCAGGAGCTAGGTTGTTTTATTTTCTTATGGATAAACATAGCTTCTTCATGTGTTAAATTAAAATCAAGGAACAAGTAAGCCTTTGTCTATACTAGGTTCATGTCCAAGAACACTGATAAAATGCTTGAAGTGTGGATGCAGCTCCACCATCAAAGTTGATCTTTTACCACCTCTAAGGAAAACAAACTGTATAGATAAAGGTACAGTTTTGCTGGTATAATGGCCACCAGAGATCACCCTTCTTTCATACCCCCTCATTAGGTTACCTTCATGCTAGCAGGAGTGTGAAAGATATATGTGGCCTAGAAAGTTATACTGCTTAAACTATACGGTAGCATACTATAAACTCCCCCTAAGTGTGGTTGAATTTATAAGCAGCATAAAGTGCTTTTGTCACTATTTTTTCAGACCAACAGACCACAGTCAGTGATCATCATTTCTTGCAAATGACCAGGCATTCTTATAACCAAACTTTTAATTGAAAAAGTTACAAAGGCATTTGGGCCTCTGATCTGTAGACTAACTGCAGATTACTTCATCTGGCATAGCTCACTATCAGCAGTCCACAGACCATATTGTGGAAACTACTAAGTTACCCAATATACTTGTAGTTTACACTAAACTGGGAAGCAATCCTGTTATAAGGTGCCCTTATTTATGCTTGTACAACTGCACCTACACCAGGGTACATAATGGTATAACTATGGGCATGTTAGAAAGAAATTGCACCTCTAACCAGCATGATACCTTCAACTGTAAATCGATCTTTAATTTACCAATGTAATCCAGCGATGGGGTCAGAGGGTTCAAACACAAAGGCACATTGAACTGAGATCATTTAATATTCTGGGAATCCATTTATGTAGACAAAATTGCAAGCTAGCTCACTGTGACAAAAGCTTAGACATTCTAAATAGCAAATGACATTTCTTTGTGTGCAATATGTAAAACAAAGACACAGCCAATTAAAACTTTGCAAAGCAAAGTAAAACTTGCTTTCCTGGCTAATACAAAGATTTAAAAAAATAGCCTTACAAGGTCTGAAGTCTATTCTTTTTCCGTCTGAATTCTGTTACTAGTTAAAATAAAAATGATGTTTGGAATGCTATAGTAACTAGCAGTACCAACTGAAAACATAACAGGAGTTGTATAAATCTAAGCCCAGTCCTGCAGACTTTGCATATTCATATTTTCCAAAAAGTCCATGAGGGTTTTGAACGTACAAAGTGTGGAGGAGTTGAGTTGACCACATTTAAAAAGCCAATGTAACTACAGCCTGTTTTCTATTTCAGGGTATTGTGCATGAGAACTGTGAAAAAGCAGTGGTCCAGAATAACCTTTGTTTTGGAAAGTGTAATTCCTTTCATGTCCCTGGCCCAGAAGATCGTCTTTACACCTTTTGTTCCCACTGTTTGCCTGCTAAATTCAACTTAAAACGTTTGGAGCTGAACTGTACCAAGTCTGTCCCCATTGTGAAGGTGGTCGTGATTGTGGAGGAATGCAAATGTGAGATTCAGAAGACTAAAGGTCCTGAAATGGGTCCTTTACATTCAGACTTGCATGCAAATGTGTATGGACACAATTAATCTGCTGAAAGGCACCTTTAAACTCCATGATCATTTGTAAATTATAATAATAAAAAACCCTGAGATTTTAGTCAAACACATTCAACCAACAGTGTGAAAATATAGATTTTTCTCTCTCAAATGCTCCTTTATCATAGGTATAACATTGCCTGAAATGTATCAGATGTTTCCATTTGTGTCTTGAGAGAGAGGGAGGATGAGTATGCAGAGTGGGAATAAGTGATTAAACCAGGGTAATTCTTAAAAAAAAAAAAAACTCCTGTCCTTTTTACCACTGGTTTAGTTCAACTGGTGTTAGTACTGCAGGGGGTCTGTGTGCCTTTAAAGTATATTCCCTTTAGATAACTGGGATGAGCTACCCCAACAAAATAACTTTTTTTTCCCCATGGATATTAGTGTATCTATAGTAGGGAAATCGCCAGTATAGGTCCAATGGCATGTCTCAATTGGCAAACCTTTTCTTTAAGTACACAAACCTTTAGACTCTTGTGTTTACTTCCAGCTAGCTCATCATGGATCTCTTTTGCCATGTAAAATAGTATAAGACATAATATATGGGTAACTTTTTTTATCTTGCATAGCTATTCAAGGTTGGCCTTATAGCTATGTTCTGGTTTTGATCTTGATTAGTTACCTTAAGATAGAAATGAAGGTGCCTTATCGCCACTATGATTTACATGGACATGGTGATTTTGAATTGGGTACCTTACTATAGAGATGTGCTGCTTTTTTTTTTTTTTTTTTTTTTTTTTTTTTTTTTTTTTTTTTTTTTCCAATGAAGGCAAAAGCTTGGTCCATTCAACAGGGTACTTGAAAGCTCCTCTAAATATTTTTGTTTAAACTTATTTTTCATTGAAAAAATAGCTTTTCAATCAAAACCAAACATTTTGCTGAAATATTTATTTAGTTTGAAGTTTTAAAAAACTTTTTATGAAAGACAATCCAGTTTAATACGAGATCATTTTCTTCAGATTTTTGGAGAGTTGTTTATAGCTTGATATCAGGGATTGTAGGTATATGCCATTTATACCTATATAAATAGACCAGGATAACTCTAGAGGTAAATCTTTTCAATATAGGATAAGCTTGACTGATCTCAGCCTGTACACCTCTGGCACTTAGTCCCGCTTCTGAGTTCTCTCCTTTCTCTTTTTGTTTCTTGCGGTCATGGCTAACAGCTAACAGTTCCTTTAGTTTCAGGACCCATAGACTTTAACCAAATTCTAACCCCTTCCCAGGCCTGGATTAACTCTTTCGTGGGCCCTAGGCAAACAAACACATGGACCCTGAGCTGGTTGAGACCCCCCTCCCCACCTCAGTGTTGCTGCCCGTGGGGAGTGGGTCTTGGAGCAGCTGCCACAGCAGCTAGGGGAGGGGAGGGGAGGGGAAGGGAAGGGAAGGGAAGGGAAGGGAGGTGGATGGGGCCATTCGTGCCACCACCATGGAGGGAAGGACCGGGCCCCCCCTTGCAGCTCAGGGCCCTAGGCATGTGCCTAGTTTGCCTATGTGTTAATCCTGCTCTGCCCCTTCCTGGACTTTATTATTCCTAAACTTTTAGGCCTTTGATTCCCCACCTGCTGTTGCCTTAAAAGTTCATTATTGGGTAATCTGAACTGGAAATCAGAACTAAGTTAACCAGTCCCCAAATACGTATAAACCCAATTAACCTGTTAAAAGGCAACTCCATGGCCATCTGCAAGGGGAACCCCCCCAGGGTTCAAAATATGGGGGGGAAGTCAGGGGGACTGAACCCCCCATAAGCTCCCCGATAAGAGATGAGAGCCTCCCATAAGAGACGAGAGCCCATGGCCCACCCCACACCTTCCTATGAACCTCAGGCATTGGCAGCAGCTCTTTCCAGCTTGCAGCTGCCACCACCACAGATCCCAACAAGAGTCGGAGTATAATTTGAACCCTGCCCACCCTCTAAGAGTTTAGTTGGACACATTCAACCAACAGTGTTAAAATATATATTAATATCTCTCAAATGCTTCTTTATCACAGGTATAATATTGCCTGAAATGTTACTGAAATATTTATCACAGTATGGGTGAGCTTAATTTATTTACACACACATTGTAGCAATGTTGTAAGTATTTTACAGATTACCTTTAAAATAAATCAATTCCATACTTTAGGAATGCAGTCATTTTTCAAAGGGCATTTACTGAACATCGTGTTTGACTGACAGCTCACTTTCTGATCCTGCATCTAAGCCATAGCCGTAGTTTGCTGTACATAATTCATAAATAGGGACCTACCTAAATCACAGTGAAACAAAAGGGTTTTCATGGCTAGCTTGCAATGCGCAGAGCAGATTTTGCAGCAGCTCCATCCCTTGGCACTGATTGGCAGAGAGGCCCCAAGGTGTGAGTAGGGGTAAGGGAGCAGCCACCATCTTGATTGCTGGCTGCCCTTTGTGCTGCCCCTCCCCTCAGCACTGATTGGTGGAGAAACCCACCAGGTGGGGCAAGGGGACAGCTGCCATCTTGTCTGCTGCTCTTCATGTTGCCCTGCCAGCCAGTGCCTTCCCCTCCCAGCAGTAAGGACTGCTGGCTACCACTGGGAAGCCAGGACTTTATTTTTATTAAGGTTTTGGGTGTTTGGTTTTTTGATTTAGCAGATATTGTGGACAATCCTGGATTTTGAGATTTCCATGGAATCCACAAAACTGCAACTGGGGCTATTCATAAAGTAAGGGACTTGGGCATTAATATATAATTATGCTTCTGAATACACAAATTGTTTTTAAAGAGGCAGCTTACACAGTAGCGATTAAAAAGTAAGCCTGCAACTCTTGCCACCTCTTCTTTTACACCAGTATAGTGTATAAAGGGCATTAAGCCAATCATGAATAGGCTGCATGTACCATAGATAACAATCTCTAGAGTTTAAACGGTTCATGTGTTGCATCTAATAATTTTTTTATTTAATACTTCACTTCTGAGCTTCATAATGTGACTTTGCTGAGGGATAACCTCATTGGGGCAGGCTGTCAAAAGTCTCTCACCATCCATGGTTCTCTCCAAGGCTTCATCTGTGAGCTTTAATAGGCATGGGTTATGATAGAAAGAAGAAATGCTTTCCTACAGCATGCAATAACATAGGGTCTGTGCTTTGCTTTGTTTGTTTCCATGTAGCTTTCGCTATAGAATTTTGTGTGAGTGCCCAATTCTAAATTCTGTCATTGGTCCTGCTTCCCTGTAATACTGTACTGAACTTTATGTGACAGTTACATAGTTAACTTCTCTAAACACTTTGAACTCCCTGTGCTCATTTATAACAAAGCAGAAGAGGAAAAAAATTCTCTCAAAATTCACAGCACCAATATTCCCAAACATACCCCCCACTGCTTCTGTTAAACCAAAATCTGGAAGAAAAAAAGAACTACCAAACCACTGGCAGCATGTGGCCAACTTTCATAATGTTACTGTGACTCTTGCACTAACGTGTTTTTCTTAAAGCCCCAGTTCCTGAATTGTGCAATTGGCTGGAGATTTTATTTTAATTTAAAAGTTCTCATGGCTGCAGAGAAAAGCATGAAGGCACCAGAAAGGCTCAAAACCAGAAGGCAAATAAAGAAAACCTCAACATGATTCTTTTATTCTCTTGCTTAAGCCAAACTCGTGAGTTGGTGGGGGCGGGGGCGGGGG